TATTCTATATGATGCTTTTCCTACTTTTCATTCTTGTACCCATAAATAAAATCTAGCCCAGTAAACTGACCTTTTCTAATTTGTGTAATGTATGTAATTTAGGCGATTATACCATTCGGCTTTATAGCATCGGGTGTGGCGGTATTATGTCAGGAAATGGTTTGTTGCTGGAGGGAGAGCTGCACCTTAAAAACAGAAAGCATAATCATTTATAATCTCATAATCAAGAATTTTTGGCATAAAGGGGTCTTCCAAATAGGCAATGAAACTAAATGTGGCTTTTAAAAATTCAATATTTTTTTCCCTTAAAAACAGAAGTCCAGACAGAGCTGAAAAGATGCGTGTAAGGAGAGAGGACTCCATTCTGGACTCATAAGCAGTAGTTCTGTCAGGAGGAGTTGGCCAAAATTCCAGCAAACTATAGTGAGAAGCTTCTGAAAGGGGTTTCCATTACATGTGGCTGACCTGTCATACAGTTTAAAAGATCATTTTGCTAAATACGGAGGAAACATACATTTCTGAATTTAAAAATGGGTTAAGAACATGAATACAAACTCTCTCATATGACCTTAGAATACACAAATAGTTATAGTAATTCTAACATCGTTAAAGTGGGACATGTTTAAGGCAGATTTTATGTCAGACACTGAAAAAGAAAATATAATGCAGTGAGTACAAACATCTGTTTTCAACTGATGTTGAATCTGCATTAGATTTAAACCAAAGTTTGTCAGCTTGGCTGTTTGTTTTCTCTAAAATGGGTAAGAAAGAATCAAGGTGGTTTGCTTTTTGTACATTTGTTCATTACCTGAAAATTACCTAAATTTTTTAGGTAAATTACCTAAAATGATTTACCAAATCTTTGATAAAATAAGATAAGATGGGATAGACTTTATTGATCTCACAGTGGAGAAATTCACTTGTCACATCAGCTCAATAGACAAAAGAAGGTGCCAAAAGGAGGAAAAAGTGCATGAGGTATATACAGTGCATTCAAATATATTCAATGGATGGAGACAAAAATTAAAAAAAATCAATCGGGCAGAGGTTTAAGGTTACTTATGTACATCTAAGGTGAATTATACACATATGGATTACATTAAAATGGTACCAGGTACGGAACAACAGTGAGGTAGTGAGATAACTATAACAGCTGAAGTCTCTTATTTATTTAACTGGAACATTGCACATGTTATTGCACAGGGTATTAAATAGTAATTGTTTCAAACATTACCGGTAGTTATTGCACAAGTTATTGCTTTTATAGTGCCGCATTGTAAAGTCTAATGGCAGCAGGGATGAATGACCTGCTGTAGCGCTCCATTTTACACACAGGAGGTCTTTCACTGAAGGAGCTGCTCAGCTCCTCTACAGTCTGGTCCTGGGGAGAAAGGGGGTGTCCATGATGGATGTAAGCTTGGACAACACTCTCATCTCAGTCACTTCCTCCACCAAGTCCAGATTACAACCCAGGACAGCCTTTCTCACCAGCTTATTCCGTCTCTTTGATTCAGATTTCATAATCTTGTCGTGAGGTTTAGCTTTAATGGTAATAGCCTATGTTGTCTATTAGTTCCGTCGAAGTATATAATATAATTTCAGCTTTAATAATGCACTTTTTTGTTATCATATCCCTTTAGCGTTCTGCTCAACAAATTGGTAGAGCATATTTTGAGGCTTTATATCTAACTCAGGCATGCACTGAAATTGATATACCTTATTGACTCTTTTCTACCAATCGGTTTAGACCTGTAATACTCATAAACTCCACTAGAATGCACTGTGTCATTGAAATTTTGACCTTTTTAAGAACTGTCCACACAGGAAGTTAGCAGAGGGATGAGCATGCTAAGAAAAGAGAGCCTTTTTTGTAAAATATTTGAAAGGTAGGGAAACCGTTTCAACATGAAACAATGTCAGAGGCTTTACTAAACATTCTAAAGAAATATTGTGATGAAAAGCTAATCTTATAAGGGTTAAATAATTTTCTAAAAACACATGTTACCAAATGGTTGATTTGTCCATTTATAATGAAGGCATAGGCACAATACTAATGTAGTTTGAAAATACTTTCTTTTGTAAAGTTCAGTGATTGGATCACTTATACATACATTTTCTTAGTTGTTATATCCCTTATTGACTTATTCTAATGCTAACATATTAAAACCACTTCATTGATGCAGGATTTACATATTTTATATTTGCATATACATTTTCCTTTTTTATCGAAAATTCTACATGGACAGTAAAACCTTTAATGCTTCAAGGACACACAATTCCCAGGCTCTGATACCAGAACACCCTCAAGATTCTGATGCTGATCTGAGTGATGATGAGGATGACCAAATTGAAGATCCTGACTATCATCCCACACAAGAGGAAGATGAAACTTCTTTTGAGTCCATGTTTGAAGAGGAGGAAGATGAGGAGACTCCAAACACAAGCTCTTCATCTAAACCACCACCCCGCAAGAAAAGACGCAAAGGAAAAACACTCTCAAAAGAATATCAGTAAGAGAACTGGACGAAACTCTTGAGCAAAGCACACCTCCAAACCCAAAGAAAGCCACTCAAAGAATCTGGAAATATGAAGACATTGATAAAATCCATATTCCTGCTTTCTTTATTTGAAGCTCCTGAATGTGTGAAAACACCCTTGCAGTATTTCAAGTAACTTTTTACAGATGAGATTATTCAACATATTGCTCACCACACCAACCTTTACTCTGCCCAAGAATTGGGGGATCCAATGAACTGTAGTCCTGAGGAGATTGAAATTTTCCTTGCAATGCTTGCTTGCAAAGTGGTAATGTCATTATCCAAGACCATAACAGAGCCCCACCTCTCAGTTGTCTTCACAAGCTTTGACTTGATTCAAAACCTCCATGCAAATCTGGGGGTCAATTGCATTGGCACTGTCAGATCAAACCGAATGGGTGAAGCTTCACTGATGTCAGACAAAGAACTGATGAAAAAAGGTTGTGGGGCCTTTGACTTTAGGTCTTCTCAAGGAGTGCTTGCTGTGAAATGGTTTAACAATAAATCTGTTAACATTCTAAGCAATGCCTATTGGAAGTGTTAAAGGATGGAGTAAAGACACCCGCACAAAGATTGATGTGCCATGCCCATCAGTTATTCCTGCCTACAATCAACATATGGGAGGCATCGATCTCTCAGACATGCTGGTACACATGTACAAGACCCCAGCAAAATCAACGCGATCGTATTTTCCACTGTTTGGCTACATTCTTGATCTGTGCATCTCAAATGCCTGGCTCATTCATAAGAGAGATTGTGCCCTACTGAATGAGAAGCCTCTATGCCTCAAAAGGTTTCGTCTGACAGTTGCTCATAGTTTGATGCAGGTCAACAAGCCAGCACAGAAGGTTGGAAGACCACCATCTTCTTCTCCACCACAAATGTTGCATCAGAAGAAATGTTACACCCCAAGACCTACTTAGCCCCAGCCAGATGTGCGTTATGACAACTTTGGACACTTGCCACTTCACTGTGACAAACGAGGCCGGTGTAACCTCTGTCCAAAAGGAGTGTCAAGGTGGAAGTGTCAGAAGTGCAACGTTTTCTTGTGCCTGAATGCCCACCAGCAGTGCTTTGTTGCATATCACCAGAAATAAGGTTGATCCGATACATCAAAACTGCAGTTGCAGTTGGTTCTAATGCATTACAACTCTTTTTGCCTGTTTTTCCTACTCTGTTACTAGATTAAAGAAGAGTTTTAATAATTATTTGTTATGAGTAATTGTATGCAAACTTTTACCATAAATGGAATTCTCAACCGTTTGGTAGAGGCTTGTGATTTAAAAACTATGGGGGTGTTTGCAAAAAAAAGTTATGCACTTTGTTATTGATGTTCTAAAGGAATAAAAAATACAAAGAAAAAATTTTTTCACTGCAGTTTTCTTGGTGCGGACCTTAAAGGGTTAATGTTTATGTTTTGCACTGATTTCACTCTGGTCACATTAATCTGCCCACACAAAATGAAGCCAGTGACTATAATTCTGTGAGCTAATATCATCGTTGCTCTAATGCTCTTTGTCTTAATGCCATGCTGGGCTCCTGGCTATTACACACACACACACAAAAGCCCAGAATAAAATCCCTGTTGCTGTGTTAGCAACAGAGATGATAAATTATCTCACAGGTATTGTTATGAAAGACGGTTAGTCGGTACCTGTGAGCAACATTTCAATCCTGAACTATGTGAGATTGCACCTCCTGGGCTTCCATTAGGGGCTTAAATTTAAACTTTGTGTAACAAAGACAGCAAATTAGCTTTTTAGCACGTTTATCAAGAAAGGTTTTCAGCATGCATACAATGAGAAGTTTATCCTCAGGTTCTCATCAACAAAAACATCTTTTCATACAATTTTCATAGATGGTGCTCTTTCTTGAAAAAAAAAAAAATCAAAAGCCTTAATGTTTAAAATGACTAAAACAACTTGTAAAAAGAGCATATGAGAATTTAAACTGTGCTTTCTCATTAAAATCAGACCCCTCACTCGGAAGATTGTTTGGCAGCAGCAGTTACCTCGGTATTAATGTTTGATGTGCAAACAAGGATTGGAAAATAACTAGAATGTGATGACAGTTGCTCTTGTAGCCTGCACTCAATGCCATCTAATAGGACAGCATTTGTAAGACACGTCATGCGGTGGCCGGGAGGGAAAGGTTTATCCTCCCTGCTTGCCTTCTCTGCAAAAATCTTGTGGTAAAATAAAAATAAATGTTGGAGCTTTGATGTCCAAACAGCCTCTAACCACCGAGCCACTAAACTGCCCAACCCTGATGAAATGACATTTCCAAATAATGTATGTTTTTTACATTCAAGTCCAACATTAGGTATGATCTAAGAGTTTATAACATGTTACAAAATTTGAATGAAAATTGAACTAGAATAATTCTGTTTGTATGTTTCTCATCCTGCATGTTTGTTTTCGTCTTCTTAGTTGATCTTTAACATAGAATTTCCTTATATTTCAGGAGGAGGAGATGCCAGAGGTAGAGATAGACATTGACGACTTGTTGGAGATCAGCAGTGATGATGAGAGAGCCAGCAAACTACAGGTATGTTCCTGTTCCTGTGGCTTCAGCAGAGAGGATTGGTTGTCACAGAGGAAATCAGAAGTTCTTCTTAGGCTTCTGGCTTAACTCTAAAATAATGACTACACAGATCTCTCAGTGAATGAACTCTTTTAAGTTACGTCAGTTAATCTCAGCACAAAATGCATTTAACTCAACTTTAAAATCTAAATTTCTTAATTACTCAAACTAGCTCCATTGTTATAAATAACTTATGGCCTAGTAACATTAGAGCCTCTATATGTCTTCATTATTATTATCTTCATCCTCTGACATTGGAGTTGGCTCGGAGCTAAAAATTAGTTTTTCCTCTCCACTGTCGCTACAAGCATGCTTAGTGTGAGGGATTACCTTTGAGTCAATGAGTCGATGCAATCAACTGGTTTTCCTTAGATAGAAAACTTGGAATCAATTTGACTGTATGATCTGGTGAACTGTAAAGTTCCTTGAGATTACATGTTTTGTGAATTGGTGCTAAAGAAATAAACTAAAATGAGTTATTCTGCTTTTTATTATATTCTAAACCTTAGTGTTAAAATTTCCCTCAGAATTTTTTAAATAGGAGTTTTAGAAGATAATTTTCAGTCATTAGAGACTTGACTTAGGAAAAATGACTCAAATATTCCTGGAGTCTAATCCTTTATTCTTTTTTTTTTCTCTGATAATCATGTATTCTGCTTAGACTCCAACACCTGAGTAGAATATTAATTTTTCTTTAAGATCACACATACAGGACCTGCTGTGGTTTTTAGTTATCATCTAATCTCTAAACAATTGTTTGTTTTTTCCCTCCTCCCTCAGGAATCACTAATAGACTGCTATAAGCCCACAGAGGTGAGTTTCTTTGCACCCAGCATGTTCTAATATGCTGATAGTTACCTAATTCACAATGCCGACACAAGCACAAATAAGCTACCTCCTTTTGGCTTTTATAACAGTACAGTGTTCACAGTAATGAGTTCATAGAGGTAAAAGTCTGTTTGGATGAGGTTGTGTTAGGCTATTTGCGGGATTAAAGGAATTGCCAACCAATCACATTAACTCTGCACATGGTGAATTTTCTCAGGCTGAGCTTCCATCTGTCTTAATCAATATGTTGGTGTCGTCACTGGAAGGTCTTTGCGACTAAAATCTTCCTTACTGTCTTGCTACTTTAATATGTGCTCATACATGCCACCTATTCACCTGCAATAATTGCATACTTTTCTTTTTTTATAATAGTAAAAGCTTAAGAATTACAAACACCTACAGTGTGAACTTCAACTGACTGTGAAACCAATGTTTAATGCTAATAAATAAGTCTTATCCTAATTGGACCTACCGTATTTGATTTGTTTTCTGTGACATGCTTTACTCCATCTACCTACCATGAGGATTCAAAAATGATGCACATCGCTACCCATAAAGATGTACATTCTACCAAGTGAAATAAGAAATGAAAGACAGAGGTATTGGTGGAGACAATGAATGAGGATAAAGGAAAGGATGAAAGGAAGGGGAAAGAACATTGAGATTGCTTTTTCTTAGTAGAGCAAAAATAATAACAGGAGATTAAGGATAGGGGGTGAAAGGAAAGAGTGTTGGGGATTAATGATAAATAAAAAGAATGCAGGTATAAGGGAAGGAGTGGAGAGACATCAGGAATTGGATCATGAGCCCTGAATGTCACCTGTAATCAGGTAGTTTATAATAGTGTTGCGCTGATGCCATTTTTTTGGGCCCGATACCTGGCTGTGCAGTATGGGCCGATACCAATACCATACCAATACCATCTGTTTGAAATTGATGTGTGTGTATATATGAAGAACTGCATACTACTTGGATGTAATATAATTGCCATCATGGCTTTGTCAAGCTGCTGCCTTCTGGGATGCAGGAAATAGACTAAAACAAAGTGAATCCAGTAGAACTTTTAATGCCTACCTGGAATGGGTGACAATAGTAGAAAAAACTTTTGGCTCTGAAAATGGTATTGGTGCCCTATTTGTCGGTACTCGCCGATACCGATGCCACCATTTTAGTGGTGTATCAGGGCCCCGCCCAATACTGGTATCTGCCATGAAAAATGTTTGTTTTGTCTTCTACAGACACAGTAAACCATTACAAAAATTTTTATTTCATAGTGTTCCTTTATTCAAATGATAAAACTATTAAAAAAGTCCCATGTCTTAATACTACATCTCTTTTTGACATTTTAAAATTTTTGACAATTTAAAATATATTGTGAGTGTTGCAGAACTGGCATCGCGTCTAATTTTACTTATCTAATAATTGTTTAATTGTCTATACTGTAATAATTAATAATAGACAAATATTTGATAAATTAAGTTAATGTAGCTTTAAATGCACATTAACTATTTTAGCTCATTATGATCTGCTAATCTAACTTGATTAACCATCAAAACACACAGTTTCAGTTGATTCTTGTTGCTCTTAAAATAACAAATTTTAGGATTTTTCAACAATTCAAAACAGGGAGGTGGCTGCATTGTGTTGCAGAATCAAACTAAGACTGATTATAAGTTGAAAAACATTCTCTTAAGGGAAGCATTTGAATTCCTCCTTAATACAGTAACTTCCTTGAACATGTGCATCTGGACGGTCTAACCATGTTTTCCTTTTTGCTCCCCAGGACTTTGTCCGCGAGTTGCTGGGCAGGATAAGGGGGATGAGGAAACTCAGCGCTCCAACCAAGAAAGGCCTATAATGGCTTTCTTATCAGTATCAACCAGCCATTAGCTTTCACTCCAGCTTTACCCACTTTCCTCATACAACATAAACTGCTATAATACAGAATTATTTATCAAAACAATAGGAAACCACCTAGCATTACCATCATGCATCACAATATCCATAATCTGGCATTAGTCATTCATTATGAAGCACAGTGAATTATCACGATAACATAAGACTGTTGAGAGATATCTACGCACAAAAGAAAAAACAGTGCTTGTTTTTTCAATGACAGAATAAAATGTTAAGCCCAGGAATGTGCCCAGACTGCAAGTACGTTCATAACCAGAACATTACCACTCAGATCATGTTAGGTTCTCATTTTTAACACCAACCTTGCAGAGAAAAAAAAGAGCTTCAACATAAAAAAAGGATAAAAATAAAATTCAAAATAGGTGGTTAAAAACTTACAGTAGGTGCACAATTAACTGTAGCACTATACAAACACAGTGCATAATTATTTCTTGTTTTTTCCTTTCTTTTACTGGAGTGTCTGCTGTTACGTCTTTTAAAAAAAAACGTGTGTGACCATTTCTTGTTCACATGAGTCAAATGTGGTTTTCTGCCATTATTTGTTGTTTTTTTTAACCTTTTTGTCCTCATTACATCAACGCGACCAGATATGTGGCGCAGCTGTTCTTTTGATAGATTTTTTTTTTTAAGCACAAAGCATTTTAATTATGCATACTGCATCCGTTTGGTCATTTTGTAAACGTATACCTTCTGAATAGAGTGGAGACATATTTAACAAAACACTATCAATATTTTTGCTAGTTAGTCATCGTTGCGTCTCAGCAAGGCATGATGGGTGTTGTAGTTCTCTGGTGGAGACTACAAAACCTGTATGATTGGCAGCCTTCCATTGGTGTGTTCTTCATGCTCCCTCAGAGGGCTTATGTGACCCTCTAAGCTCCAACACTGTATTTTTTTTTTATCTAATTGGTTTTATTTACCTCTGCTAACCTTTTTCTGTGGTATTTGACAGAATTGCCTTTAAGGACATTCGGGTTCAGTTTCCTTTTTGCCAGCGGTAAACCTAAACTATTATAGCTGAAAGGCAAAGCTGGTGAGGTAAAGACCTGAGGCCAACACAGGATGGTTTTAAAGAGCCTACAGACCTTTGTAAAAATGCCAGTGATTTGTGATGTAAAAAGATATAGAAGATGTTTTTCCACTTTTAATGAAACCAATAAATCTTTACCTTTGATCTTTTCCTGACATGAAATGCTGTCGATTTCTTGGGAAGACAATACAGTAAGATTACCGACACGATATCAAGGAAATTTTAGAAAGCAAGTCTATTATTGATATGACGCGATATTTCATACCAATCTAATATTTTACATCTATAAATGTCATAAAAAATGTATTGAGTAAACACAATAAAAGTGGGTCATTCTAACATAATGCGGCTAAAACTCACTTACTCTATTCTAAGATGACAATATTGATGATTATTTGTTTTTGCATCAGTGCAATTAGTTTATCATTACATCTATATGGAGGAATGTATTCTTAATTACAATCTGATTCCATCCATTTTCTGGAGAGAACCCATGCATGCTCAGGGATGCAAATGATCCCAACAACATGCAAACTCCATGCAGGAAGAGCCAGGCTGGGAATTGAACTCTGATCTTCTTGCTGCAGGGCTGTAGTGCTGCAGCAAGAAGATCAAAATAACAGAAAATATGTGGTTCTAATATGCTAAGCTACTCTGTTAAAGCAGCTTTTTTATTTGATGGCAGAGTTCAATTTTTGTGTGTAGGAGTTGGCCATCATGTTACATCTATATCTGGCAATCTCTTCCCCATTCGTCTTTGCAAAATGCTCCATACCCTTCCAATTATGAGGTTCACCTCTGTGTTTCTCGCACTTTTTTTATGTAAAGCTCCTGGTGCTCTAGCAGCAGTTTGCGTTTGTATGAGATTGTGACACAAAAGGTTAGGAAAAGCTTTGTAGAAGCTGTATTACTTTAATTATTTTTACTTTATACCCTAAAATATCGATATTTTATTCTTCTGTATCACTTAAAGGTCACATTAAAGGTGGAGAATGTTTTTACATCACAATAACCTGCCATTCAGCTAAAGGTGTGGTAACTTTTTCAATCCATTGTAAATGTCAACACTTGAATTAGTCATGCTCCTTAAGTGAAGGTGTATCACATTCAAAATATCATATTATGTCTTCAGTCATAAATGTGCATCAGAGATTTAAAACAGACTGTTTTATTTAAGGCTTTATAAAATTCCTCAAAGTAGGTACAAACTTTAAGAGTTAAACACCTTAGAGTTTGCAGAAAACATGTTATACACACAAGAATTAATAAAACTCTGAATTAATAGCCTTTCTTTGCACCAACAACTCCATAAAACCTGTAGGCTCTGATACAACTATTTGTCTTTTATTGCGTTTGGATCAGCTATTACAAAGCAGGAGTACCAAATAGATAGGAGCATAGGTTTAAACATATGATTGGATCCATCAGCTACTTAAGACAAAAGCAGGGAAATGTTGGATTAAAATATCTGAGAGGCACCCATTTTGCATGCTAACAACAGATATTCATAGAGAATATAATATAACCATATATTTAAGCAAAAAAAAAAAAGTTTTTATTCTACAAAAATCTTTTTTGTAGATCCTTTACTGTTGAGGCAACGTGAGTGACACGTTAGAAAGAATCCAGGAAAAATTTAAATGGTGCTGTTTTTGATGTTCTTCTCAGAGTTTAGCTGTTTTAAAAGACGTTCTCACTGTTGAATGATGACAGAGAAATATGTTTGGAACAAACATGTTTGTCTAAAACTGGATTTAATCTTTCTCAGCTGGTACTGGTCCGGTTTGGGGCCCCAACATTTAATAAAGATGAGATGTTTGCAAGATGAAGCCATTAATGAAAACTGGGATATGTTTTTATTTTTTTTTTTTCCTTTCGTTCATCCAAATAATTTTCTTTCAAGGATCAGTTCAGGGACAAGAGGCTGATATTTTATAATTTATTGGGTTTCATGTGGAGAGTGTTTTGAAAGTGACTGTTTTAGAAAGCTTTACATTTGCATGAATTTATAGAGTAGCATGTTGAGGGGAAAACTTTTTTTTCACCCAAGTTTCATAAATTAAAACCCTTTGCTTTTTATACATTTATTATGATTAATATTATTGCTATTATCACGGATAGTAGGAGTTAACTATTCAGCTTTTAAGCTGAATGTTGATTTCTGTACATCCACAACGAGTATTCCTGTTTATAAATTGTAATGTGGTGTGTGGTTTGTTTTTTGCTGATAATAAAAATAAGAAATGCAAACTCCCTATGCATTGTTTGAAAAATGTCTCTTATTTGTATAGTTATTAATAGTCCTGATATATATATATATATATATATATATATATATATATATATATATACACACGCACAGTACTTGAGTTGAGGGGGTGCCAAGGCACCTCCCTTCTTAAAAAAATCTTAAAAATTATCCTCCTTCTTAACTGACAATCACCCTGCAGTTCTACTGTAAGGTGCCTTCGTCAAGGTCAATGACCGGCGCACCTGACATGTAACAACTATACCATGCATATTGCTTTAGGTTAATAGACTATATTAATTATTAATTTTTTTATTTGTGCAACTAGACTACTTTACGTGTGTAGATAGATAGATAGATAGATAGATAGATAGATAGATAGATAGATAGATAGATAGATAGATAGATAGATAGATAGATAGACAGACAAAGGTCTAAATCATGTAGGGGTATACCAAACTGTCAGACTACTGTACTCATGAATACATTTGAAGCTTTTGGGAATGTTCAGGAAAATTCTTCCACATGGCTGTGCTTCAGCACGAGGGGCATATTACATCTATATAGATGGCAGTAGTTAAGTAGGACACCCCATACGCTGTCTAGCTCTGTAAAGTCCATCCGGGTATGACATTATTGTTCAATATGTGCATGAGTAGCTTTTCTCTGCTGCATGTCTGGCCCCCATATTGGCTAGCCTACTGTATCTTGTTTCTGGGTAGAAGTATTTATTTGAATGCTTTAATAAGAGACTAACACCGTAGATGTAAGATACGGACCACTGTACAAAATTCTGATGATCTGCATCTGATTTTTTTCCAAAATACCTTTTAGCAAACAGACATGCTTCACACCAAAGGGGAGCCCGGTGTGGTCACATAGTGGTGCCATCAAAATCGTGCACTGAAATGGGGCTGCTTGTGCCTTTAAATTTCATGACCCACTTTTCACAGCTGGGACTGGTGAGGAGCGCTCATGCACTCGTGCTGCCTTGAATAATTGGGACTGCAAGGTGAATGTGAGGAGAATAGTTAAAGACAGAAGCCTCCCTCGCTGCTGGGAGAATTCGCTTCAGTAGGCTGGCTGCACACCAGCGTGTTCGGTCACGCTGTTTGAGGGGTGGAAAGATGACAGCTGTTTGACAGACGACTGGAGCTCATCTGGATCCATGATCCAATTCAAAATGACAAATGTGCCCTACTGATAGCAGTTGCCAGATTGTAATTTCAATGCTGAGCATTTCTCAGGAACAAAACAAAAACTAATCACCCCAAATCAACATAATATATTCTTTTCATATATTCCCTTCCTGTTTTTCAGTGTCTCTCCTTTAATTCTGCATTTTCCCCTACTACGTTTTAAATCATTAGTTTTTTCCCCTTTCATCTACCTCACAGAAAAGCTAATCTATCATGTCATGCTCTATAGAGACAGGAACAGAAAGGGCAGATGAATAAATAAAAAAAGACTGATATGCTATTTGACAGAAGCAATACAGAAAGGGAAGACAAACAGGGAGAGATGGAGAGTGGCACTGACAACATCTCCACCCAGCCCCCAACAGTTGAAGGACAAACCACCCATCTCCACCTCTGTGGAACTCACTCAGCACCACGTAAATGAGGTGATGTTTCACACTGCATGACGGGCAATGCACTCTCTATTAGATCTAATGGCATCGAATTGCCTAAAGCGATTAACCTGTATACTGTAATACAACACCTTGAAAAAATATTTACAGCCGCAAACTTGAAATTATGTTGTGTTAATGATTTATGTGATAGGCCAACAGTAATTAGCACGTACAGAAATGGAGCTGTAAATAGTTTTTTTTTTTTTTAGAGGAAAATCTAAAATATTTTGTGCATTTATTTCCTAGATCTATTTACTATATTACCCCTCAGTAAAATAAGCATCATGAAGGCAAAGGAGCACATGGTTAAAGGCTAAAAGGATAAGCTAAAAAAACAAAAAAAAAACAAGATTGCTCTTAGCAGGTCTATAAATACCCTCCATCCATCATTTGAAAATGAAAAAAAAAGTACAGCACTGCTGTCATGATACACACCATGAAATTCGGTGGTGGCAGCATCATGCTGTGGGGATGCTTTACTTCTGCTGTGAATGGAATGAAAACAATTTTTCCACCTTACTCACACGCAGGCTCAGTAGGAGGGATTGCTTCAAAGTGAACAGCTGGATGCCATCAACTTTCTGCTCTTTTTACATGTTTGTTCTGGAAGGGAAGGAACTCGTCATTGAGAATCAGGTACAAACATGACATTGATTGTGCAGCTTTTTAAAGTGGGATCAAATAGAAATCTATGTAACCTACTTTGAATGTGTTTATTTGACTGGATTAAATGATTTGGGAATGCATAAAAAAACAGGATCCGTTTTTTTTTACAGTGCATTTAAACATGTTTGTTGTAAATTGGTTCAGCATAAATAGCTACAGTTACACAGATAAACACAGGGTGATCACTGAACAAAATCTGCAGGAATCTTCCATCATACACAAATCATTCCACTGTGTACTTAGGGGACTTAAAAAAAACACCATTCCGTAACCAGACTAAACTGTCAATTTCATTGTAGACACTCTCTACATTGAGCAGTGTGGGGTTAAGGGTCTTTGCTCAGGGACCCAGTGTCAGTCCGTGGGAGTGGGGCTTGAACTCAGAACCTCTGGATTCCAAGCATAATGCCCTAACCACTAGGCCACATTCACCTATAAATTAAATGAGAATGCATAGAAAAACAGGACCTGAGCAGGACTATGAGACTAAGCATACAGCTGCAGTCACACTTTATCAGTTAAAGTATTTTCCAGGTTAAAGCGACTCATTCAATATTTAGACTTCAACCCAAACAAGAATTTTTGGAAAGACTTGGACATTTTAGTCTATAGATGTAAATTCCCATTATATACTGAAAATATGTGGAAATGTCTAGTGGGAACGCTTCTGAATACTTTTCAAAGTCAATGAAAAAGTGGATTACAACATTGCATTTCCAGCAGCCTTACGAGCTTTGGTGACCTGTCTACTATTCTATTCTACTATGCCGTGACGTTTACTCCAACCAGCCCACTAAAAAGCACGTTCTCTTTCCTCTACTTTATGAATACTACATGCTACTGTTCCACTTCCACAGCTGGTGTGTATGTATGTGTGGAAAGGGGGCGACGCATGTTACAATCCCAAGGGAAATCCTTTTAATTTCACTACAATGAGTCCTTTCTATTTTTTACTTTACTCTAAAAGCAGAAAAGTCTGCCAAACTGGCTTCACCTATTTCTGCTTTTACTTGTACAACTGCTATTCAGCGTTGTGTTTAGAATAGGTTTAATCTAACCAAATGGTTTTTTTTTGGTGAGATTTTTAAGGAGAGCGCTTTAAACCGTAGTAATAAGAGGTTAAATCGCGATTAGACAATAGGTACTAAAATCAAAACCTGCTTAGATTTGCATGCACACTATTTTGTGTGTTAGCGAAACAATCACCTTTGAGAAGTTTTCCATTCAGAAAGAGGTTGTCTTCTTCTCTGGATTACTTCAACACATTTGTCTAGTCAAGTTGCAAACATCAAGAAAAAGGTGATCAGTTCTTATTACTGTTGGAATGTTGTTGTTAATGAATCGCTTAATTCATTTACAAGATTTGCAAACTGCACCTTATTAGGTTATAACTGACAACTAAAGTTAATCTTTTTACCAAGATTGTCTTTTCTAATGAGAAGCCCAGCGTCTAGTGTCTTAAAAAGAGAAAACTCAAACAACACCTCTAGAGACTTCTACTCTTTAAAAAATTGTCTGCACTGCAAAAACAATCCAGAAATAAGTAAAAAATGGCTTAAATTAAGTATATTTAGCCTTAATTTGAGTAGTTAAATAAGATGATTTGCCAATGGAATGAGTATTTTCACTCTTAAAATAAGATAGTTAGATAATATTTACTTGAAATAAGACGATAAAATAGTTTTTTCTTATTTTAAAAGGAAATTGTCTTGTTCCATTGGCAAAGTGTCTTACTTACCTCCTCAAATCAAGGAAAAACACACTTATTTTAAGAAAAAATAACTTATTGAGATTTATATTTTTTGCAGTGTGGATCTAGACTGGACCAACTAAAAATTAAGTAGTGTACCAGAGTTTGTCATAGTAATGTCACCCATATATATATATATATATATACACAGTATATATATATGTGTGTGTACACAAACTTGATTGAACTAGAGCTCAGTGCTTAAATGCATATATTTTTAAAGCTGCCATTTTGTCCTTGCACTACAATATTCTGTGTTTTAGAAAGCACTTTAGGCACTTAACGCAATTGGTTGAGCTTAAGCAGCATGCCATGATCAAATGTGACATTACTGCAAACAATGTCATTCTTGCTTATGTATATTCATCTATCCTACTTAATTTTAACCCCTACAGTCGGTATGCAGAGATGGGTGGTGACTAGTTGTATCTACACAGTTAACTTGGGTACAAAAAAGTACCTCCTCAAGTAGTTTTACTTAATCATACCTTTTCCTTTAAATGATATATTATTGTGAGATTGTATTCTAGAGTAAATTAGCTGGTTTCTTTTCCTAACATGAGTAACTTGAACTATTCAGGGATAAGGTGAAAATACAGTAAACAGCAGATATTGTAAGTGGACGATCTTTATCACACAGTACCTACTGTTAGGATTGAAAAAAAAACATATTTTGAAAAAGTCTTCCTTTTGCCAAAATGTGTTACTTTGTAATCATGTTTTCATTTGTGTTTCCTTCTTTATTCAATTTCTTTAAATACCAGAATTTGCACACAACTCTCCACCTGATTATGCCATTGCAAATGGCAAATCAGACCTATCAAGTCTACAATTACTCAGTACTTCAGTAGCTACTTAGTATGAACTTTTTAAATCATGAATAATCTTGAATAATTTTTTTGGATGGTTTTTTTCTATTTTTACTTGAGTAGAATTTGTGGGTTTTCTACCAATCACCCTTTATATGTCTACTGTC